ATACTATTTAATCTTGAAGCTAGTGGTTTATAAAAGGAGAAAAGTATAAAATAGCAACTTTAAGAGAATTAACAAAAGATTAATCAAGAGAATTTTGAAAAATTACAAGGCAAAAATCAAAAGAAACACAAAAAGATAAGGCGTTAGTTATATATGTAAAATCAATAAGAAATACAAAAGTTATCAAATTTTAAGATACATTTACAACTCAATAGTTATAATAGGAAATGATATTAAAATATAATTAATACTTCTAAAATGATCATAAATAAATCAACATATTTATGTTAAAAAAATTAAAATTTATCCAAGTCAAATAATGAAGCATGGAACTTTGATACCTAGAATTTCAAAGCATGCGAGTCTGCCATTTAGGCTCATAATATTCGAGAATTATTTATAGGGGAGGGGATATGGGGGATAAGATAATATATTTTGAAATAAGATCAATTGCATTGACTTTGCCTAGCAAACGATCTTTGCAATTTCATCCAATTTCAAAAAAAGAAGAAAAAAAAAAAGAAAAAGCATTCAAGTATTCAACATTACATAAACCCACTCCAAATTTCTTATATTATTCTGTTTCATCAAGTTCTAAATTATCCAATTTCAATGTAGTAAAAACATTGAAATTAGTCAAATTACATAATCTAAGTTGAAATTCCCTATTTAGATCATTACCTAAAACTATCCAACATCTCGTATATGCTTGCACAAAACCATGCATCTCATTTTCCTACACTAGCAAAAATCACACAATATTATTACACAAATTCAAATCACCTTACAATGAATACACCACATTTATAGACAAAAATCATATCCTCATAAAACCTCTCCAACATACCAAACACAAATGACTCCACACCTATAAACCACCCCAAAAACCTCCATCTTCTTATCAAAATCCTACAAATTACAAAGAACAATAAACTAGCCATGACCAAACATTCCTCCTTCTCCTTACTTTCATTTCTCTTCGTCGTCTCTAACCTAATCGACCCCTCGTTATGTGACTGGGCAACGACTCAAAGGTTAATCAAAGATATATGCATACACACTTCGAACTATAATTTGTGCAAAAGCATTCTCAGTAGAAACCTCGTTTCACCGGACTCGAGCCTCCAAGACATTACGAAGCTAACAATGGACATCGCCGTGAGCACCGCCAATTTCACGCGTTCGACCATCCAGAGTTTGGAGACGACGGAGAAAAGGCCAAACGTGAAACAACTCTTAGCGGGGTGCGAAGGTGATTACAACAGGGTTGTAACCTACCTCGGAAGTGCAAAGAGCGCGGCCTACGCAGGATCTTTCAAACAGATCCTGGTTTTTGTATCTAACGCGAATAATTGTGTTCTTTTATGCCAAAACAAGATCGATAATGTGGTTCCTCGGATTTTTTTGAAGAACAAGAAAATGAGGGTCTTGTTCTCTATGGCATCATATGAATCATTAGTAATTCACTAGATTTTGTGATACAAAGATGTATTTGGGGAAAGTTAAAA